TTTGAGCAGAGGGTACAGATTTGGGCACGAGAGTGCACTCATTCTTTGAACAATGCACATTTACTGAGCTCACTCATAAGCAAGGCACTGATGGTATAGAATCTTGGGAAGCTCCCCGTCTGCGGTGGGACAAGGCCTGATGGAGGCTGAAGAAGTCAGTTCTTAAAAGGCAAGGTGTAAGGAGCAGTGATGCACCAGGGGAAGTCAAGTCCCACAGAGAGTTCTGTGTCTCATAGGAGTGTGACAAAATTGCCAAGAAACCCACCTCATTCTGTCAGTGCTCCAAGGCTGGGAGTGGGTCTTGCTCATCTTCATTTACCTAGCACACAAGAGGTGCTCAGTGAATATTTGTTGAAGGAATAAATGAATGTACAGAGTGTTGAGTGGAGCAACTAGCTGCTTCTTGGGGGTCAGAGGATGGGACAGAGAAAGTCTTCTTAAAGACGGTGATCTTTGAGCTGTATCTGGAAGTGTGAATAGGCCTTTGCCAGGTAGATAAGACAAGGACGGGGTGCTGGGCAGAGGGAACAATGGGTTCAAATGCACGACGCAGGCATCGAAGACCGCTGAGTGTTTGGCTGGTGTATGGTACATGTCGGTCAACCATCAGAAGCCATTCTTAAGGGTTGAGTTCTTGCAAGTTGTGGGAAGTGCAGGAATTTGAGAGTTTTGGGTAGGGTAACAATGTGATCACCCCGTGTGTGGGTTGACAAAGCATGCCCAGAACCCCTCTTCTGAAGTTTTAGGAATGCTATTTACCCCGCTCCTGCTTCTCACTAGCAGGAACCCAGGTTCTGCACCCCCGGACCTGGGGAGCAGGTCTAGACTCCAGGCCTCTGGGCTTCCAGTCTGGTTTTCTCTCCACAGATAGATCTGGGCTCAAAGCTGAGCCCTGCTCTTCCCCTACGATGCAACCTTAAGCAAGTTACTGAACTGCGCAGCTCTGTCATCTGGAACATGGAGATAACATTATCCCCTTTTTGGGGTTGCTGAGGGGGGTTCGATGAAATAATGCATGTCAAGCGTCTCTGGGTGCTCAATGCCTGGCAGGAAGCGTGTGCTCAGTTAGAGGTGAGTGGTATTACTCTACCCTTCCAGGGTTCTAGTTCCGCTCTAGTGTATCATCCCACTGTGTGGGTGTCTGGTGGTGATGTCCTGGGATCATGCAGCTCCTACAGTAGCTGAGCTGATCAGAGGAGCCTTTCTCAGGTTGTCTTCCAGGTTGTCCAGGAAGGCAGAGGGGCATAGCTTGGCTTAATTGGGTTTGGGGCAAATACTGATTTTAAAAGAGTAATCTTCGGTCCGGGTTACAGCGCAATTGTGTGCTCTTTTGGAATTAAAAAAAAAAAAAGAAAAAATATCAAAGGAAGATTGTACATAATTTGGTATGGGTGGGCTGATTTCTACCACGCAAGAGGACGTTCCCATTCACAAAGGGATTCATGGTACTTTACATCACCAGTGCCTCTTACTGCGCTCACTCAGGAGTCCATTTCCCTCACGTGATTCACACCAACTTTCCAGGAAAGGGCCTCTTGTTCCCCCACGGTCTTGTCACCCCTGCCCTTCTTGCAAGATTCCCTTGAGCTTTGAGCCAAAGCAGCAGAATCCTGGAACGGGGACAAGGTAGCCACTACAGGCTGTAAGAGGAACCATGACTTTATCTGCCACCAAGAAAGAAAAAGCACCGCCAATTTTAACTATCAGATGCAGCTGATTGAGAAACAAATCCCGATTTCAGAAATGTTAAAATGTGAAAAAAAAAAAAATACAAGAGACTCTTGAACAATACAGGTAAGCGTGGGTCCACTTACATGAGGATTTTTTTTTTTTTGATAAATACAGCACAGTACCATAAAAGTATTTTCTCTTCCCTAGATTTTCTTAACATTTTCTTTGCTCTAGCCTACTTTATTGTAAGAATACAGGATGTAATACATACCACATACAAAATTATGTCTTAACTGACTCTGTTATCTGTAAGGCTTCTGGTCAACCGTAGGCTATTACTAGTTAAGTTTCTGGAGAGTCGAAATTTAATATGTAGATTTTCAATGGCCCCCGGGGTTGGTGCCCCTAACCCCCATGTTGTTCAAAAGTCAATGGTACCTCTTTTTTTTTTTTTTTTTGAGACAGAGAGAGACAGAGCATGAGCAGGGAAGGGGCAGAGAGAGAGGGAGACACAGAATCCGAAGCAGGGTCCAGGCTCTGAGCTGTCAGCACATGGGGCTCGAACTCATGGATGGTGAGATCATGACCTGAGCTGAAGTCAGACGCTCTACAGACTGAGCCACCCAGGCGCCCCCAAAAGTCAATGGTACTTCTTAGAATCACTGAAATGCAGTGTTTGAGGACCTGGTCAGCTGGATACTAATGGCAGAATGAGAACATACCAAAGGCACCAATCCCCAAGTTATACATGGCTGAATATAATTTATTATTTTTTGTTTGTGAAAGAAACCACTAGTTCATAGGCTCTGTGGGGACAGACACTGGGTCTGTTTTGTTCACTTCTGTATCTCCACCACCTCGTTTATGGTTGGGGTTCAACAAATATTTGCTGAATGAATAAAAAAAACAACAACAAAGAGCCACATTATAAAACATGTGGAAAACCCAGAGAAGAGCATAAATCATTCATAAATTCCCCCACTGTGGGTATTTTGGCTTATTTCCTTCGAATCTTATTTCCTATGAATATGCTCTTTTATATACATGTAAACATAATTTATTTTTAGATTTAGCTCTGGGATGTGTTTTTGTATTTCTCTATTAATATGAATGAAACGAGGAAATAAGAAAATGCAGAAATGCTTTGAAGATTTGTAAAATGTTTAACCAAATATCTTATTATTAGTTATAATAATCATAACCATACTGCTATGAATGAGGCTGATTTTCTGAGAACACACTTCAAAGCAAACAACAGATTTGTTCTCTGAAGCTGGGCATGTGTGGTCCCTGCGTCCTGTCCTGTTCACCATGGGGAGTCCCTGTGTTTCGTTTTGGGAAGAGTGAGAGGCTCGTGGTTTCTTAGAAGTCCTGAGCCCCAGCTTCCCACCCAGCCCAGAAATATCTTTAGTGTCACTAATGGAGCGTAAATCCTTGCCTGGGAAAACTCAAGCCTGACAAAAGATTCTACTATTTGCTCCAGCCAGTACCTGAAGATCGGGCCTGTCTCCTTGTCTTTGTGGGCAGATAGGAGCCTAACTCTGGCAAGCCCCACTTAGCAACCCAGGTGGGTTTCGCATGGACTAATGTCCCCTTCCTGCTTGCTGTCATTTTTTACTTCGCTGACTCTGCTCCAGGCCCCTCTGGTCCCCTCCCTTCCCCCTCCCTTTTCTTTAAAATGCCCAGTCATCTCTGTACACACACACGTTGAGTCCCATTCATGCTGAACCCTTGTCCCTATTGCAATGGGGGACAAACTTATTTCTGATTAAAATCTGTCCTTGCCACTTTCACTAGTGTTCAGGCTTTGCTTATTGCTGGCAGTACTTGAAAGCCCATGAGGCTAACAGCTTGGGTTCTGGGCTCACCAGGGCTGTCTGTCCGTCGGCATGCCTTGACTTATTAGTCCATGTTCTCACCCTTCCCAACTCCAATCCTCAGCCCTGAACTTGGCCCCTGGCTGAAGCCCCTGCCTCAGCCTCTGGGGCCTGTGGAGGCCAGCCAGGCTCCCAGCCGCCTCTGCCCTTGCCTCAAAGCCAACATCCCCACCACCGTGTGCTGCAGTGGAGGCTGATCTTGGCCTTCAACAAGTACCCAGGCATTAAGTACAGGGAACAGTTTGGGGGCCCCACACCATCAATGCCTTCCCAGAGATTCAAAAGCATAACTCGCTTAGAGATTTCAAACCAGTTTCTAGGAGCGCCTGGGTGGCTCAGTTGGTTAAGCGTCCGACTTCCGCTCAGGTATAATCTCACGGTTTGTGAGTTCGAGCCCTGCGTCGGCTCTCTGCTGTGAACACAGAGCCCGCTTTGGATCCCCTGCCCCTCCCCTGATCTCTCTCTCTCAAAAATAAATAAATGTTAAAAAAAAATGAAACCAGTTTCTAATACAGAAGGTCATTTTATAAAGTGGCTAAAGGGCTGTGGTCATTACTAGATGAGAGATGACATTTAAGCCCCATTTTAGAAACAGCTGAGCACATAAGTTGCATGTGTATTTCTTCGCTGACTATTCACTGTTCTGATTCTCCCTTCCTCACCCTCTAAACCCAATGCTCCCACCACTCATTGACCTCTCTCTTTGCCTCAGCCTCCCAGGGTGGGTTGTCTCAGATGATCTGTGGTTTAGGACTCACAGTCTCTCCAGTGTTTATTCCAGGTAAACCAGGAAATAAGAGAAGGAAAGTGTCCCTGTGTCTGTCTGCAGTCCTGCTTTGAGACCTCCTCCCTATTGAGGATTTGTGAAGTTCTCCCTTCTGAGATGTGAAAGCCACGTCAGACATGAGGCTGCTCCAGTCCTCACACCCCTGACACGCAGAGTTGATGTAACAGTCCTAGCCGGCTGGAGGGTCGCCTCCCTGGTGTGAAGCCAGAGAGAGGGGGCAGGAACGGGCGCAAGAGACTCCCCTCCACTTACACTCTTATGAGAGTGACGCCCCCATCCCTTTTCCTTTTTGTAGATCACTGTGAGTCGTATCAACACTGGCTAGCAGGTTCCCCTGGCATCCACCGATCCCCTGCCCTCTCAAGAGATTTTTTTTTTTTTTGCCCCCAGAAAGTTCTAGAAAAAAACCCCAACCAATTCAGTGAAAAAGAAAGTAACTCGGGTTTCTCTCACACCCAACTTTAGGAACCGACAATTGGGTTACAGAGGTTAGCTGACACCCTTCTCTAATTTCTGGGTCAGCCCCTCTCCTGGACCCAGCCCTGCTCGGGCCTCCTGAAGGCTCAGAGTCTTCCAGGAGTGGGAGTCCCATTTCCCCTCCTCATGGCTCTGCAGGCGGCTGGTGTGGGCCCGGGACCACTGATCCAGGGAGCCCAGGAACTTACCCTCTGCTCCTGGGTGGCCACGAAAGTCTGGAACCCTGGAGCCACCCCAAAGCCCAGCTCTTGGATGAAAGGCGGCTCAGACTGACTGTGGATCTGAACTTTCACTCCTGCTTCAAACGTCGTTTCCTCTGAAAGAACAAAGACAGACAGAGCCATGGGTCAGTGACAGCAGGTGCTCACGGAGTCTTGGGATTGAGAAGCTCAAAGGGACGTTAGAAAGGTCACATGGCAGACAGCATAATGGCCTGAAAAGACATCCATATCATCATCCCTGAAAAGTGGGAGGACGTCACCTTGCATGGCAGAAGGGACCCTGCAGATGCGATTAAGTTAGGGACCTGGAGATGGGAAGGTTATCCTGGATTATCTGAGTGGCCCAATGTCCTCATGAGAGTCTTCGTGAGACGGAGGCAGGAGGGTCAAAGTCAGAGAGAGAATGGAAGAAAGTGTGCTGCTGGCTTTGGTCGTGGAGGCAGGAGCCACAAACCGATGGATGCAGGCAGGTGCTAGAAACCGGATAAAGCAGGGGGATAGATTTTCCCCTGGGGCCCCCACAAGGAATGTAACCCTGCCAGCCCCAGATTTTAACCCAGTGAGATAGGTTTTGGACTTCCGGCCTCCATAACTGTGACATGGCAAATCTGTGCTGTTTGGGGTCACTGTTTGTGGAATCTGTGACAGTAGCGGTCAGAAGCGAATTCAGGCCAGTTGGGCCAACTCTTCGCCTGGGTCTCCAAAAGTAGAAAATGGGATTATGAAGTGAGTCATTCACCTTTATTTTATTCGCTAGCTTCTCTACTCGGCCATGAGCTGAAGGTGAGGGGATCAGAGGAGGAAAACATGATGACACAGTGGTAGAAATAAAAATACAGGGCTTGCTTGTATGCCAAGGTGCCCGCCCCTTGGAGCTTCTGGAGGTGGGCCACTGGTAGAGAAGCTTTGGCCTCTCTTTAATTTGGCAAGAGAAATGGCCCCTGGCAGTGGGAGGTGGCAAGGGTGGTGGAAGGCGATGGGATAGCAGAGCCTGGCTCATCTTATAATGTTCAAAATTGGTGGAGGACCCTTTACTGGGTCTCCTCTTGTCTTGCTCTTTCCAGACAGCCTGCGGAACGAGGTTTCCAAAATGCAAAACCTGCACAGGTCTCTCCCGTGCTGATAAGGAGCCCAGCCTCCGTAACCTGCTCCTGTTCCAGCCTTGCTCTGGGCAACCTCCTGCTTCATGGCACCATGTGTCCAACCCTCCAGGGCTGCCCAGATTGGTTGTTACTCGTCTCTGCTCTGCATGGAGGCGCACGCCTTTCCTTTTGCCTGGAAAGCCTTTCAAACTCGTCTACCCGGCCAATCTCCCTACGCATCACTGAAGATTCAGGCCCCCAACCCCACCCAAAGCAAACCCTTCTCTTGCTCTGTTGTACTCTTTCCATATGCCTGAAGAAGCTTCTGCCACACCAGAAGAATCCTTTATCTGACAGTCTTTCCACCAGGCTGGAGCATCCTGAGGCCAAGTTCTGGGCTATCTCCCTGGACCTCAAAGGCCCTGCACAGGGCCAGGCATATAGCAGGTACTCAGGGAAGGGCTGCTGAGTGAATAAGAGATTTGCGATTCAAACCTCACTCAGTTATTAATGGGCAAGGCCAATCTAGAGTCCAAATCAAGGAGTGTTCTAATTGAAGGGAATGGAGGGACACCTGGGTGGCTCAGTCAGTTGAGCACCTGACTCTTGATCTGGGCTCAGGTCATGATCTTGTGGTTCATGAGTTCAAGCCCCGTGTTGGGCCCTACGCTGACCGTGCAAAGCCTGCTTGGGATTCTCTCTCTCTCTTTCTCTCTGCCCCTCCCCCATCAAACTAAAGAAATAATCTTAAAGAAATAAAGAAATGGAATGGGGAGAGGATGGGTAAATGAAGGGATGAGGGAAGATGGCGTGAGGGAGAAATGGAGGTCGAGGTTGGGGAGGGAGGCAGGGGTTTGTTAGCACTGGGGCTACAGTCTGGGGATGAACACCGGAGGAAGGAAGGGCTGGGGCCAGCCGTGGGAATGGGCAAGACTCACGGACAGCCTGGGGGCCAGTGATGGAGGCAGGGGAGGGTGCAGGAGCTGGGTGAGAATTCCAAGGTAGGGGTACGTGGGAAGAAGGGCTTAGTAGGCACACAGGGGTTAGTGGGAAGGACAGGCAGGAGTTTCAGAGTCCAGACTTGGAACCCAGTGGCTGACATGGGATTTAGGCAGAAGGGACCCTCGGCCAGGAATCCTTTCATCATGATTTCGTGGAACTGGAGAGGATCCCAGGCAATCCACAATCACACCCCCTTCCCTCCAGCAGTCGAGTGTTCTGCTATCTCTTTACTCAGACTGTCCATGCAGACTGCTGCCCGAATGTCCCGGGATGCCTGTGTCCCTTGTTCCTCCCAGTACCCGTGGCCTAGCAGATGGACAGGCCCACAGGTGCGTCAGGGAGGGGGAATGCAGGACAGGGAGGAGGGGGGAGTACAAGAGAGGGAGGACGGAGGAAGGGGAGGAGGGGTGAGCCTGCCCAAGCAAGGGGTTGAAGAGAGGTCAGGAGCCCAAAGAACAGGCTCAGATGGGGAAGGAGCCCAGTGGCATGATGCTGGGATCACGGGGATCCCTGTGCTTGGATGAACTGAAAGTCTGTTCAGTGGCTGTGGGGGGCAGAAGGGGAGACATGCCAAAACTTGTTTTCTGGAGCTCTCAGAAGTTGCGTGCCTGCTGTATAACTGAGCTTAGAAAACCTTAGAGCCAGTAAGACAGGCTCAAAGGAGGGGTCCCCTGGCTTACAGGGAGAAAATGAAAAGTGAAGCCTTTTCTGTCAGAAATGCTTCAAGTAATGGGCGAAGCAGACAGGCCAGGCATGCCTGCCTTGTGAGAGCCGCCTAAGGCCAATCAGGCTGGGCTGGGATTCGGAAGGGAAGTTTATTCCAGAAGCAGCAGGGGCTGAGGCAGAGTAAATTCCTAAATAACCTCCTATTGTTACAAATATCCAGCAACAGGATGGGCACAGAAGAGAGTGATGGATAAGATTTCCACTCTCTTTAGAGAACTTCCTGCCCAGATGGAACATTCTAGAATCCGCGCTATCCAACATAGTAGCCGCTAGTCACATCAGGTGTGACAAGTGCAACTGAGGAACTGAACTTTTAATTAATTAACTAATTAATTACCTCCCCCCCCCAGCTTTACTGAGGTATAATTGACAAATTGTCAGATCAAGTATACAATATGATGATGTGATACATGTCCACATTTTGAAAGGGTTTCCCCCATCAAATTAATTAATACACCTATCACCTCACATATTTACCTTTTCGGCTTCCTTTATTTATTTTTAATTGAATTAAAAAATTTTTTTTTAACTTTTATTTATTTTTGAGAGAGAGATAGAGACAGAGCACGAGTGGGGGAGGGACAGAAAGAGAGAGGGAGACACAGAATCCAAAGCAGGCTCCAGGCTCTGAGGTGTCAGCACAGAGCCCCGCGCAGGGCTCGAATTCACAGACTGTGAGACCATGACCTGAGCCGAAGTTGGACGCTTAACTGACTGAGCCACCCAGGCGCCCCTATTTTTAATTGAATTTAAATTTAATTAATTAACTTAAATTTTAATAGCCACAGGCGGCCGTGACCACCGCAGTGGGCAGTGCAGTTGTAGAATGTGAGCTGCGAGCAGACCCCAGATGTCTCGGAGCATCAGGGACGACAAGGATGCCACCCCTCTGCTTTCCCAAACAGGTGCTCCTGGGGGTCTCCGGTCTGGAGGCCTTGGGTGACTTGGGTGGGGCTCTGGGCAGCAGCTGGATTCTTGGCCAGCCCACGACTAGAGTCCCAGACCCTCTCTGGCCCTGCTTTTCCCCAAAGCACTACTTATTCCCAGATTGTTTCTCTTCCTTCATGGACCTGCCTTCAGCTCTCTGTGGGTCATTCTCCAGTCTGATTAGGGAACAGTCCCCTTCTAGTCTCTGCCCTATGCCTGCCCACAGTCTTTTATGTTTCCTGCCTGGACATGGATGCTATTAGTGGAACTATGAAGACCTAATTTAAGAGCTGAAGTTATCAAACATAGACGATTAGAGTCAAAGGCTCAGATCATGTGCCTCAGAGGTTCTCGAAATGGAACACACATCAAAATCACGTAGGGAGCTCTGGATGATGATTTTGGGGACCCACTCCTAGAAATTCTGATCCGGTCATTCCGGGGTGGAGCCCAGGTATCTGCATTTCCAGAGATTTGGCGATAGGTTACCTGAGGCCAAACACATTTGGGCAAGCAGTGATATAGTTCAGAGAGGGGAAGTGACTTGCTCAAGGTCACACAGCAAGTCAAGAGCAGAGCAAGGGCTAGAAGTCAGGTCTCCTGATTTCCAATTAAACACTCTTTCTACCTCACTAGGGGTGTGGTTTATTTCCACGAGCAGATGCCCCGGTTCCTAGCTCTGGGTTTCTTTCCTTTTAAAAAACTTTTTCTTAAAATTTTATTTATTTATTTTGAAAAGGAGAGAGAGAGAGGGTGGAGAGGAGCAGAGAGGTGGAGTGAGAGAATCCCAAGCAGGCTCTGCCCTGTCAGCGCAGAGCCCTGTGCATGGTTCGGTCTCATGAACGGTGAGATCATGACCCGAGCCGAAATCCAAGAGTCGTACCCTTAACTGACTGAGCCACCCAGGCATCCCCATAGTTCTGGGTTTCTGATTGGGGGTTGGAGAAAGGGAGTAGCTTTTTCACGCCACATCCCCTAAAACCCCCAGCGCAGTGCCTGGGACCGGGTGGAGTTCAGTAATCACGAACGAAGCAAATGAGTGGGAAAGAGTCCTCTGCCGAGTCCACCTTTTCCTGCCCTTTGGCAGCTGGGAGTCTGCCCAGGGTCTGGTTGGACACAGGGACGTGCCAGCACCACATGCTACCTGTCCGTGTCACAGGACTTAGACGTCTCTCCCAATGAGATGGAGGTGGGTTGTGCATAAAACAACAGCGGCTGCAGCAGCAACTGTAACAGTAACAGTATCTGGACCACCCACACAACTTTTGGGTCCGGGTGCAAAATGAAAATGTGGGGCCCTGATTGAAAAAGGATTAAGAATTTCAAGGCAGCCAATCGCAGAGCGTTACACAGAGTGT